TGCACCCTTTTTGTTTGTTCCTTGTTTTAATGGAACCTGTAGAAGATTTGCCATTTCAGTCATGTTTAATTATAAATAAAAAATAAAAATTAATTATAAAAAGTTAATCAAATTTAACACTTCCTTTATTTAAATCAACTATTATTTTTCCATGTTCACCTAATTGCTGATATTGTGTGTAAAGTTCATTAATGCTCATTGGTAAATTCACTTGATAAAGCATAACGTTCAACTGTTGACGACTAAACCCACTGAAAATGAAAAGGGTTGATAGATTTGATTTAATGTTTGTGCTTAATGCTTTGAAGTATTGAACAGCCATAAAGAATGAACACTGAATGTGTCGACATTGAGTTAATAACTGATTAAAATATGATTTCTCATTTGTTATTAGTTTTGATTTCACTGCATCATCTAGAAAAATGAGTGAATGCAAAAATTCTCTATCAAAATTTGAAATAGAAAGTGTTTCAAATAATTCATCCCGTTGTTTATCAATAATTTTATCCTCTAATCCTTGCTTCTTGATTGTATTATATAATTCTTTATACATTAAAAAGTTTTTTAAATAATCTTCTGCTTCTTCTTGTGATAAATAAATAATTGGAATTTTGATTAAATGCTTTAAAGATTCAAATATATCATCTGAAGGTGAACCTGAACGGTTGATATAAATTAACACGTGTGAATAGGGGGAAGTGTTAGCAATAATGATAATTTGTTTTAATATCGTTAATGTTTTACCTTTATTTTGTTTACCAATTGCTGCAGTGATTGAATTTAAATAACATTCAGAATATGGAATTTTCATTAATTTTTCCTTAGATAGAGCATTTCTATTATCACTCAATGCTTCATTAATCATATCATCTATGTATGTATTATATACTCCTGCTAATTCTTCATAAGGAGTGGATGAATTTAAATCCATTTAATCAAAAATAAATTTATAATTTTAAACATTTCTATTCATCAATATTTCATCATATGAACTTCTATACTGTGGTGGTGTACCTGTTAGATGATATTTCAAACCTTCATCCGGTGTCCATGTCCAATATGTAGTCCTAGTAAACCAAACCTGAGGAGGATTTGTCACCTTTGAACAGTAAGTGTCATTTTTACCCTGAATGATTGGATAAGCTTTCACTTGTACTGTAACTTGTGAGTTGAAAGTTTCTAATCCATCAAAGAATATACCCGCTCCATCACGTTGAACTGGAATAGTGCATAAGAATGAAGTTTGGTCTTTCCATGTTCTAGCTAATGGCGTGCCATCATCTGCATTCAGTGGTCTAGTTAATGAGTCCTCGTATTCTTCCGTGCATTCATTCACCCCATCTAAATCAGAAGCTTGAAGCATACGTGTAAAGAATATGTCACCCACTGTGGTCATCGCTTGATCGGGGAAGTTTCTGGAATCTATAGTGACCTGAAGACCTCGAAGCATTGGATTTTCTAAAACTGTTCTTTGCATTGCATTCTTCTGAAATGCTAACACAACATCTGTAACATTATGACGAGCGTATGAGAAATCTGAGCTAATACCTTCAGGAGTGATGCAACCTCCATTTATTGAACGAACGTCAATATGTTGAGCTGGAATCATGAATGGATCTTCCTTACTGAATAAACGTGGTATTGCTTTAACCGATTCTTCAATTAAACCGTATCCTGGTGTAATGCATTTATCCTCTAAAACTTCCATCTTTGTGCATGAAATAATAACGTCATCAACTGTTGCGTCAGCAGATGTAGCGGCTAAGCTTGTAATTAATTTGGCAGGAAGTCCGATTTGTTGGAATTTGCGATCATATTTATAAACATGATTCATAATCTTTTCATAATTTTCATCAGTTATCTTTTCATAAACGTAATTTTGTAAATCAGCAACTCTTAACGGGTCAACCTGACAAAATACTAAAGTATCCCTGAAAACATAATATTTAAGAATGATATCACCAAATGATTTAGGATAATCATCGAACGCCTGAAATGCTAACAAATCATTTACCGGAATAATCATATCAAAAGTGACATCAACTTCTTCATTTGCGTTCTTGAAAACTTCTGAAGGGTCAATATATTTACCACATACTGAGTTATCATATTTTTGAACATTATTATATAACGAATGAACAAACTTTTTAACTTTCCTTTCTGATTTTGGTTTATATGTTGCAAATGCGAAAGATTCACGGACGCAATCCATCTGAAGATAACCGGCATCACCTCTTTCGGTTTCTACTTCTAATTGTTTAAAGTTTTGATTTGATGATTTGTAACCAACGAATAAACGCATGCATTTAAAAGCGGCATCACATGTGAAAGCTTTATTTGAAACTAGAGTTGCTTTAACTTTGCGTTTAATATATGTGTCACCTAATTGGTTCACATCATGAGCTGGATTTGTAATTCTTAAATGAGTTTGTTTATCATCAAAATATGGAGCATCAGAGTCATAGCATGAACTTTCAAGTTCTCTATAATATCTTCTACCGTCATTCTTTGCGAATATTTCATTTATCTTTTCGAATGAATGAAACACATTTCCATTAATCGGTTTAGTGTTTGGCACCAAATAGTTAGTCGTCATTTATTAATAAATAAAAAATCAAAAATAAAAGATGAAAATGAATTTTTAATTTTAATGAAATAATCAACTATGGCTGCAGGTATATTTAAGAAACTGTGGGATAAAGTAAAAAGAGGAGCGAGTAAAGTTTGGGAAACATTGAAGAAGGGAGCAAATTGGATATTTAAGAATAAAGAAGCAATTAGTGACATTGCTGAATCAATAACACCAAAAGCTGTCCCAATAAGAGAAGTTTTAAATAAAGGAGAAAAAGTTTATCAAAGACTACAACCGATACTAAGATAAAAATAATTTTAAGCCGCTAAGCGGTGAGATGATCCATAGGATCTCATATTTATTTTTCCACTATCTACCTCCTATTTTATTAAGTATTCCTTCAGCTATTCCACCAACTGCGTTACCTGCTTGTGCTCCCATCGCCGGATTACCTGCTTTAGTACCTAATACTCCACCTATGATAGTTCCTGCCGTTTTCGCTACTGGTGCCAAAAAGTTTGCAACGGATTTAATAATCTTTTTATAAACCCAACCAGCAGCTTTCTTAATTCCATCCCATAATTTTTTAAAGAATCCTGCCGCCATTTCTGATTTAATATTAATTAAAAAATATATTTCATCACTTATATTCTAATTTTTATTTAATGATAAATGAAACCGATTTTAAAAATAAATGAAACAGAGGAGGAAGAAATAAATGAAAGTGAAAATGTTCAACAAAAAATAAACGTTGTTAAACCAATTACTGAAATAAAATTTTTTTCATCTGTTGAAGAATTTAATGACTATTATGCTAATAATAAAAAATTATTTGAAGAATTGACAACGTGTAAATTGAATAAAATGTTTAAAGTTGATGGATTCAAAATTTCAAAAATAAAAGGAGTGATTAGTTTGAAATCTATTCCTCAATCAAGAATCACCTCATTAATGAAAATTGATGATTTAACAAAAAGAATAGAAGAGATTGAAGAAAGAATGAATCAAATAATTGATTTCATAAATTCAAATAATCATTAGTTTCTTAAAGTTCAATGTTGAACTCATCAATTTCTTTTTCTCGTTTATGAGGTCTTTGATTATGACTCCATTGATTCCATGAAATTAAATATTCTTTATCATTATATTTATACCTCCTTTCGTACCTGTTGTCAAAATGTCATGTTGTCATCATTTTTAAGAGAAGTTAATTAACCTGGTGACATGGTGACACCTTCAGTTCTTCAAAAATAATTAATTAATCGCGGAATATCTGACATCATCTATATATAGCTTCTTTTATAAAAGATAAAAAATAAATTATTTTAAAATTAATGTTAATTTTTTAATGATTTATTTTTTTAAAATTTTTTTATTTCATTATGTATGGGTTGAGTGTAAATGTCTTACAATTTTGAAATTTTTTTAAATCTTGATTTATTCAAAAACGTAAGAATAAAAACCGTAAGAATCATACATTTTTTTACTTCATATGTTAAAAAAAATGATACAAAATCGCTCGATATTGTATGAATTCTTACGTTTACAAAAAAGGTCACTAAACCCGTCATACCCTACTACTAATACTTCTAAATTGGCTATCAATTTTATTTTACAATAAAAATATTTTTTATTAAATAAAAAGCCTGTGTAGCTCAACCGGATAGAGCATAAGACTCTTAATCTTGGGGTTGCCGGCTCTAGTTCCGCCACTGGCTTTTTTTTCTTTTTAAATTTTCATACGTTATTCCTTTGTTTTTTGGGATTCATCTGCGACCAATGTTGGTTTTCCTAGAAATACTAAATGATCAAAGTCATAAAACAATTGAACAATTTAACCCAAAAAAATATTTTAAATTTATCCTATTTTCTAAAAGTAATTAATGATCTATTAGTCGTTTTCATGCATTAGAAAATGGTGGTGATGGCTTGTAATTGAAGAAATCAATGGAATAGTCCTAGAATACTTATTCATCATACTTTGCTTTGAGCTGCTGCTTAACAACAATTAATTTAAGTTTGTGATAATATTCCAATCTCGTTGGTTGAGTCTTGCTATTTTTAGGAAACTCAGTCGTTTTGTGATTAAGCTTTGAGTATGATAATGGGTCAATTATCGTGGAAATAGATCATTAAGAGGCTAAGCTCTTTCCAAAATTTCTTAGAGAATTTCAGTGATAAGAACTATCCCATTAAAAACGGTTATTAAAAGGGGGAGATTTCGCATCTCTCCCCTTTTTTTTGAAAATATTTTCTTTCTGAATCCAGATCCATTTTTCAATGACATCTATAGACGCTTCGAGTAAATGCTTAAAGAAACTTTCGCCTTTACTAAGCAAATCCGCACATCTAGATGTCTAAAGCAATACAATTAAAGAAATAAAGTAATATTTACATGATTAAAATAAAAATAAACAAAAAATTAAAGTTATTCATCAGGTTCAGTTGTCATTAACTCTGTTGAGCCATAAGTGTATTGGTTCAAGAAGCCCTCTGAAACACCCTCTGTTTCCACCATCGTTGTGAACATATCAGTTGGCCTTTCGCCAGATTCAGCAGCATTATCTGAGAACTGAAATTTGACACTGTTTTCTGATTTCTTCTCTTTCTCGCGGATTCTGGACGGAAATCTCCTGTGTGGAAGCCTGCTCCTTACTGCTCCGATGTCTGACTTACTAACACTGATACTGTAACTCTCTGAGTTCGAGTCTGACGAATTTCTACGAATTTGAGAGAAAATTCTTTGGGTTGGAGTGGAAACAGAGGTGGTTGTGGTGGAATATGATTCTTCGGATGCCCTTTCTGGCTCTGGGAAGATCATTGTTAAGTTTTTGGTCGAAATAAACTTCTTCTTTGTTAATTTCTTTGGAGGTTCAACACTATTGGCTCTGACTAGCGATGATGGCCTTTCATTGAAGCCAGTTTCGCTATCAATGGTCCTAAAGGCCGCTCTTCTGATAAATTTCTTAGGAGTTATCTTCTTTTCGACAATTTTAACACTTTCTACTGGAATTTCTTCATCTGATTTAGCTTCTTTGTGATTTTTAGCTCTGGGAGTTCCAAATGAACCCTTTCTATTTTTAATTTCAGATTTTTCGTTAATTTTGATATTAAACAAATTGTTTTCAACTTCTTTTGGCAACAAATTTTCTTGTTTTACATTTGGAGATGGTATTTCAACGGAATCTTCTTGCTTTTGCTTGGTATTTGAATCTTTTGAAGATGATTTTTTTCTTTTAGGCGTTTTTTGCTCTTTATGTTCATCTTTAATTGAGTTAGAGCGTTTTCTCCTCTTAGATTTCTTCTTTTCGTCCGGTTTTGGTCTTTTTGCGATTATTGCTTGAATTTCTTCTTCTGGATCTTTTGTTGAGCATACAACAATCTTCTTTCCATCTTCTGTACATCTGGCTCTATTTAAAACCCCATTTTCATCAATTGTTTCCAAATAAAATTTCTTATCAAACAATACAACACAAGGCTTGACTTTCTTTAGCATGTTTGGGTTTGGTTCGAAGTTATCAAGCTTTTCTATTTCTATTTCACTCAAATTTTCCTTTAATTTTGCAGGAAAATTTCCGTATTTCTCTCTAAAAGCATCAGAGCTCAAAATCATTGGGGATATGGAATATCTTTCGTTGTCTGGTAAAAATACACTTTGTTTTAATTCAAATTCTTCATTTTTAAACGAGTTTGGTTTTCTTTTGTAAATTTTCACTTTTGGTTTAGGTAAAACTATTTGATTTTGAACAAACTCCGGAGTGTTCTCTATTATATTGTATGTTTGATTGTTTATGTCGGTAATTTCATGAGTTTTCTGAGAATATCGAAAATAAACTTTTTGCTGTGATTTTATTTGGTGTTCTCTCAATGATTCCTCATCAGAAGCAAATTCTCCGGATAGAGAACTTTCCATTTTTTGAGTATTTGAAATTCTCAAAATATTATTTTCGATTTTCTTGTTTTTTTCAAATAAATTAGTATTTGGTGGGCTGATTGGATGCAACGAAACGATATCCAACGGAACAACATTAAATTCTGGCAAATTTGGTGGTAATTTGTGTCCATTTTTTGGAATCAGCTGTTCTATGGCAACAATTGTATTTGTATTGGGATTTTTATGCTGAGTAATTAGTTTGAAGTATCTCTTTTCAACAGGAGGCGGTTCTTTCATAGGAGTTGGAAGTTCGAATTCGGAATCTGATTCAAAGTCGTAAATTGATTTGTCGTAAAGTTTGACATCGTGTGGATCTAGGAATGAATAATTTTTGTGCGATTTATGACGCGATTTTGACTTTTTTGAGGATTTTTGGATTTTTGGTTCGGAATCTGAATCAGGTATAGACAGCATGCTAATTTCGATACTCTCACCAATGCTTTTCGATCTAGAGACTTTAGATTTTTTAGATTTTTTTTTCGAACTTGAATTTTCTTTTTTTGCAGTTTCTGCTTCGAACTGATTTTGTATTTTCTCGATTTCTTCCATTGGTTTATCGGGAAGCTGATTATTTGGTAGAGTTGTCGAGGTATTAGATCTTTTCGTTTTCTTCTTCTTTTTCTTTTTGTTTGTTGGCGTAGCTGGTGTGGATGTTACACTGTTATTACTCTGCTCCTCTTTTGATGTTGTAGATTTTCGAGTTTTCCTTCTTTTTGATTTTGAAGTTGAAGGACTGTTTTCTATTGCAGAACTTGTCAAAGTTTTCGGAGTTTGTATTGTTGAAGACTTTTCTGTGAATACAGTAACAGGATGATCTTTAATTCTTTCGAATTCTGTCACTGTTTCACCTGTTTCTGTGTTTGTTTTAGTTATTTTGCGTATATGAACTGTCTGTGAGTACACTTTCTTTTTGCTTTTTGATATTTGATCAAATTCTGGGTCGTCTGATTGAATTAAAGTAACAGTACCATCGCGATGTTTGATTTTGCGGATGGTTTTATGCTTACCGGAGGCAGATGAAACTTTCTCACTTTGTGTTGCCGCTGATGATGCCCTTGGAGGTGGAGTTTCGCCTTCACCAATCTCCATCCTGTCACTTTTCGGAATATAAAATAGCAAACCTTATTTTTTGTGACAAATCATGTCAGATATTTCATATTGGTGAGATGGAAATTGGATGTTGATAGATAGTATCGAGAAAGAAATAAAAACAAAAACAAATTTTTAATCTATCAACATCCAATTCAAGAGATAAAATCAAAAACAAATTTTTAATCGTCTTATTGCGTTGTTGATATAAAATGATTTTTAATAAAGTAAAATAATGCAAATTCTAATACTAATACAAAACATACAAATAATAAAATAAAGCTGGATTACTTATGCATGAACATGGTCAACAATAATTTGGAAAGGGCATCAACTGGATTTTCGTCATCACTCAATCCAAGTAATCTTCTAACACCGTCAAGTTGATCATTGACTGAATCGTAATCCGTCTTCAATCCATTAATGATAGACTTGAATGTTTCTTCATCTAATGTCTTCCTGCCATCGAAGAATTTCTTAAATTGCGAAGCAACAAAGGCAAAGATCTTTCTCTTTTCTGATTCAGAGTTCGCTTTCTCTTCATCAATCATTGACTGACACTTCATTTCTGTTGTCAAAACAATTGCCTTAGTCTGATTTTCTCTGAGTTTCTTTTCTCTATCTAATTCGTCCTTCAGGAAGTTCAATCTATCTTCATAATCCTTATTCTCTTCGGACAAAGCACTGTTTGTTTGGAAAGCAATCTTATAGCGTTGCTCTGATTCTGCTAAAGAAGATGTGAGCTTATCAATGATTGTTCTTTGTTCTTCATTTTTCTTCTTCATTGATTCAAAAACTGCTTCGTATTGTTGAGTTAAATCTTGCTTCTCGCGTTCTAAGTTATCCTTGCATTCTTGAATTGTAACTTCATTTTCTAATTGCAAATCTGCAATCTTCTTAGATCTGGCTTCACAATCTAATTGAAGGTTCTCTAATTCATTCCTCAATTGCTTGTTAAGCATTTCTAAGTTTTCATTATTTGCTAATGACTCATCTAATTCTGCTGCTAAATCATCAGCTTCTTTCTGTGCTGCTTCAACCTTTTGCTGCCATTCAGCTCTTACAGAATCTAAATCATCTTCATGTTCCAACTGCTTAGAATTCAACAAGTCTTCCTTTTCATTTTGGAGTTTCTTGAGTTCACCTCTAAGTTGGATAATTTCTGTTTCAGCCGCTCTTAATCTTTCAGCCAAACGGCTCTTATCGTTTGTGAGATTGGAAATGATGATTTGTTTTTGTTCGGCATCTCTCTGTGATTGCTCCTGGACTGCAACAGCTTTAGCCTCTGCTGTCTTTCTTGAACTTCTTTCATTGGCACATTTCGCTTTCTGTTCATCGATTTGTGCAGATGCGACTTTGAGAGATTTAATGAGTTTCTCTGCCTTCTTGACTGCTGATTGAAGTGTTTCGACGCCAAGAAGTCCGAATAATTTCTTTGATGCATTGTCAATCTCATCAATTAACTCTGATTTGGTATTAAGTTCATTTATTAATGAGTTCAAATATGATATTGCATTTGTTCCGATTTGTGGATCTCTGACTAAGTTATCGGGTGTAAGTTTGTCATTGTGCAAAACTGCACCAATTCCGGTTATGAATTCACTCAAAACATTGTTCTTGGCCTTGAGACTCGAGTTGATTTTATCATTTGCATTGTGCTGATTCTTGTATTCTGTATTGTAATATTTAGCAATCGTTTCCAACACCAGTTTCAGCTTTGTAACTGTCTTATAAGAAGGATTTGTTGACAAGTCTGAAATTTGTTTGATGAGATTCTGAGGGAATTCAGCACAGAACCATGATGTTACTGGGATTTCTTCAGCTTTGCTTGCCATGTGCTCATTCTTTTTTTGTTCCAATTCTAACTGTTCTTTCAGCATCTTGATTTGCTTCTTTAATTCACTCTTTGATTCAGCTTGATTCGAAAGTACTTTCTCTGTAAGGATCTTTTGCTTCAAGATGACACCAATTAACTTAGAGCTCTCGCTGTTATAACGATCAATTTCAGACTTTTGAGAAGCAATTATATCTTTAAGACCATCTACGGCTTGTCTGAGTTGATCAGCCTTTGCAGATTCTTCAGCAAAAGCATGCTTGGTTTGATTGAATGTTGCTTTAGCTGCTAGAACCTGAGCTGTTGCTGAACGTGTTTCTTCTTCAAGAGAGGAGCTATGTATCTTTAAACGCTGGATCTCACTTTGTTGATTGTTAATTTGCTCACGAAGATGAGAGTTTTCTGTTCTAAGTTGAGCAATGGATGTTTGAAGGTTCTCTTTGGCTTTATTGAATGTTGATATCTGATCAACAAGTTCCTCATTTTCGCGCTTTAGGTTGGAGAGATTATTTGTTGCTTCGATCAGCTTGTCCATAAGTTCTCTGTTCTGAGATTTAAGATTGGCAAGATTTGCATCACTGGACATTGATTTCTCGTTATTAGATGATGGAATTCTGTTCTTTGTTTTCTCAAGAAGATCTTGTGTTGAAGCAAGTTTAGCCCGAAGCTGCTGTTTTTCATTGAGATGTGATTCTTTCATGAGATCATTCAAGTGTTGTGCTTCTTCAAGTTTTTGATTCAAATCAGAGAACTTGATTTCGTATTCAATCTCAAGATTACTAATCTTTTCGCGCAGTTGAGTGGTTTCTATTTCCGCAACATGTCTCTTCTTCTTTTCGCTCTTCAATAGTGTTCTGAGTTCTTGAATCTGATTTTCTTGAGAAGTGCATAATTCCTGCAGTTGTTTCACTTCTGAATCATCACCCTGATTGCAATTAAGTTTTATATAATCAATAAGATCCTTTGTTGTAGTAAAGTTCATATTGAAAAAATTTTCATTAGCAGATTTAAGTTGATCAAGTAAACTCATGAGAGTTTTAATATCAGAATCCTTTTGTACAAGATCTCCCTTGAGCTTTTGCATCTCCTTATCCTTTTGTTGAATAGCTATTTCAAATTCTTCCCTTTCTCGATTAATTCTACTATTCAAATCTGTTAAATCTGAAGAGAGTAATTTTTGGCTTGGTTTTTTCTTCGATTCGAGTTCTTTTTGTAAGCTGTCATTTTTCTCGCAGAGAATTTGAATTCGTTGATTTAAATCTTTATTCTCTGATTGAAGTTGTTTGTTTTCTTTTCTAACTGACTCTATAATAACTTTGTTATCAAGTAAATTTTGATTTATCTTAGACATTTCTTCAAATTTTTCTTGCAAATACTCGTTGGATTGCTGGAGAAGAGAATTCTTCTTCTCAAGACGTTTTACCTGTAATAAAAGCTCATTATCTTGGCTATCATTATCACTCATACATTCTTCGTTGTGCAAAACCTCATTCAACATTTTGCTGCCGTTTAAAAATTAATTTCAAGAAAAATCAATGCAATGATTTAGATGTAATTCTATAAAATATATGCTGAACAATTACATTTTTCATCAATAAACACAAAATCTAAACGAAATTTTCATAACAATCCAGTAAGATAATATTATATAAGTTATTTGTAAAAAAAAAAAAAAAAAAAAAAAAAGGTAGTGGGGCTTCCAGGCACTTCGTGCCTTCTAGCCCTGATGTTGATGTTTAGTATAAATGAAGTTTTTATTCGGAGGACTCTTCTTCTTCCTCCATTGCTTCTGGGAAGAAGCCTTCTTCTGGGTCGAAAACATTATATAATGTGTCGCTTTTCACAAATTATATATGTTTTCATGTTTTGTCACTTTTCTGTCACTTTTCAGGTAAAAACATTTTTATTATATATATATAAAATGAATTTTACAAAACCACCGTTACCCTTCTTTGGAAATAAGAGTAGATGTAAAGATATTCTATTGAGAGAACTTAAGAAACTACCGAATGGTCTAACATTTGTAGATTTGTTCGGTGGAAGTTTCTATATATCTCATTTGTGCCATACCGTATTCCCAGACTCAAAGATTATATGCAATGACTTCGACAACTATATGAACCGTCTCAAACATATACCAGACACAAACAAAATATTGAAAGAGTTAAAAGAAAAGATACCTATAGGTAAGATGGAACGTATACCATTAGATAAGAAAAATACTGTCAGAGAGGTTTTGAAAAAAGCAGAGTATATTGACTGGGATAGTATATCTTCTAGACTATTATATAGTGGTGCTATAAGAGTTCATGACATTGAAACACTTATGTCAAAAGTTTTATATCTTAACTATACAAACGTTTTCAAAGAGGACATAGAAAAATATATTGAGGGTATAGAGTTTGTGAGATGTCATTGGACAGAGTTGTATGAAAAATATAAAGACAAGGAAAATGTTTTCTTTATAGTGGACCCGCCGTTCTATAACACATGGGATTTTCAATACCAAGTAGACTGGACTTTGAGAGACTCTTTAGAAACTTTAGACGTTTTACATAACCATCCATGCTTTTACTTTACATCCGATAAAAGTGGTTTGGAAACCGTTATGAGATGGTTAGAGGACATACATGACTATGAGTTTATATATGACAAGATAGAATATGAGAGAGGTCCTATAAACTGGAGAAAGTGTCACAATAAAGAAATTTTATTAGTAAGTAAATGTGGTTTGAAATAGGACTACTTGTTTTAGGTTTTTTCCATTGTGTCATTTATTTCTTTGACGTGGCAGAAAAGTACAGAGAATATGAAGATGAACCAATGCCTGCAAATGTTCAGTATATGTACTCGTAAGAGATATTTTTATCTAATATTAAATGGACGCACAGAACTTAGCGAATGCACAGCAACCTGGACAACCAAACCCAGAGAATATTCCAAATGAAGTTAGAATACAAACTGCAATGGCAAACTATGGTCAAGTGCCAACAGATGTACAAATGCAAACTGCCATGTCAAATGACGCTGCGTTAGGCTTACCACCATGTGTATGCAAATATGAGATGGAAAGAGTTTTATACAAACCCTGAAGTGGGATATAAACAACTTTATGCAGATGACGCGAACACAGGAGTTGACCCAGAATATGTTTTCTACCAGAGGAGAAACAGAATGTATGAGCTCCAGTTAAAGAATGCTATGGAACTCAACAGGAAACGTAAGAGACTAGGCGGACATTAGATTTTTACATATAGTAAAATGGGTTTCTTCAGTAGTATTGGAAACTTCTTTCGAAATGTTGGAAGAGGTATATGGAATGGAATAAAAACCGTAGGAAGAGGAATTTGGAACGGAGTCAAAAATATTGGTAAAAGAGTAGGTCAGTTCGTTGGTATTATACCTAAAGACCCTGAACCAGAAGAACAAGCTCCTGTTATACAACAGCCTGAACCTGCACCACAGTCTAGTTGGCAACCAAATCCAACACCTCAACCGTATTAAAAAATCATATTTTTACCGTTCGATAGTAGTTGTATATGAAACTAAGTTCTAAGTAAAACGCATGGTATAATGGAATTATTCTCTTTCTTCCATCTGTAGTAAACCATACTTGAAAATCCGAAATACTTCCACTCGGTGGTTCATATAGCTTTGTAGGTTTTTCGTAAAAGTCATTTGCCAAGCATAAAAAAGAGTTTTGTGCACCAGAAAATGAAGCATGAACTATAATAGCATCTGAGTCGAAAACATTTTCATATGTTCCATTAGGGTTTTCGACTTCATAATAGTCCGGGTGTACTGGATACCATGCAGGCTGATTTAACATCCTCAAAAATCTATGCCATGCCAAGTTGTTATATTTTGTAGAAATATAAACGTTTTCTCCAAGGTCTTCTATTTTATTGATTTTAACAGTTGCATTTTTCCTGTCATATATAATATCGAGATGGTACTCTCCCTCGTCAATGTTATACTGGTTTGCATATTCGAGATAGATATCGTTTATTTTTTCTTGAAAAGCTTGAAGAGTTGTTTCTAAGTTTACAAGCAAATTCACTTGTAAAAGTTTTCCCTGTTCAAATTTCTCATACGTACGTTTTTCTTTGTTATAGTATCGAACTTCAAAAGCGACCGTAAATGGGAAACCATGTATGGCTTCTGAAATGAACTTCATTCTACGAAAGCCAACAGCTTTTGTGACGGATGGGTCTCTTAACCATCTAAGTGGGTAGTCAAAACGATAGCCTTCATGCTTTACGGTCTCTGTCTCAAACTTTTGACCGACATTAGTAAAAAGTTCATCTAATGGTTTAGTTGTAGCAACTCTTGAATTTTCTTTTTCTATTGAAAGCATATTTTATCTAGAATAAAAATGTCGAAAGATATTGCTTCCATGAGAGAAATACAACACAACCGACAACTCATTATGCAAGCTCTAAATAAGAACACAACAAACTTTTCAAACTATTCTAAGATATCTGAGTCATTGAAAGAAGGAAACTTAAAACTGACATTAAACCCTTTGACAGACGAGTTTCTGTTTCAAGACAGTAAGAACCATACTGTTTGTATAAATCCAACAAAAAGAACTTTAAACGAGAAACCTATAGATGAACTTCTTTTGAAGGCAGATATTGACAACAAAGCTGACAAAGAGTATGTAGATGCAACAAGAGACTATATTCTCGCATGGACAGATAGAACATACCCACAAAAACATCATACACATAACATCTATGACGTAGATGAACTACCAGCAATGTTAGATGACAAAGCAGATAAAACATATGTTGACAATAAAATGTCAAGTGAAGTGACAAGAGCTGACAAAGAATATTCTAAAAAGACTCATACACATACCATATCTGATATTACAAACTTACAAGAAACCTTAAACAGGAAAAGTGACGTTGGACATACACACGATTTCTTCGCAACTGTTGGTATAGAAAATATTGAAGGAACGGTTGAAGAAACTGGTGGGGATGTATTAAATTGGAAACCTCCTAACTTTCCACAAGGTTTAACATCGGAAGAAGACATAACAACGATGAGATACATTAGATGTAGAAATGTCTATGTCATGGAGGATGAAAACAAAGTTAAATTCACTGCTCAAGATTTATATGAAAAAAAAGCTGACAAAACATATGTTAACGATGAGTTAGATAAAAAAGCTGACAAAACATATGTTAACGATGAGTTAGATAAGAAAGCTGACAAAACAGAGCTTCAAACGTTAAAGACAGAAATACTTCAAACAGTATATCCTATAGGCTCTATTTATACGTCAATGAACTCTACCAGACCAGAAACAGTTCTGGGTTTTGGAACTTGGACTCAAATAGTCGACAGGTTTTTGTATTGTGCAAACTCTTCAAAGGAAACAGGTGGAAGTAAAACGATTTCAGGTGAAAATTTACCTGCACACAGTCACTACGTAGATTTAAGTACATCTCAAGCAGGTTGGCATAAGCATAAATTTTGGGATTGGCACGCCTTGAAAAAAGGTAAAGGATATGATGTTAAAGACGACGTTCAGTTTGCTATAAATTGTTACTGGAGTGACACTCAGGGAGATGGAAACCATACACATCGCGTTACAGGATATACACAAACAACGGGACAAAGTAAAGACTACATGCCACCTTACATGACAGTTTACGCATGGTATAGAAATGCTTAGTCGTCATTTTCAACTTCTTTAGCATATTCGTCAGCAGTTGTCTTATATTTGTTAGGAACTGTCTTTGAAAGTATACCACCTTGAACTTTGACAAGTTTGAAACGAGGTCTGACAATAGTAGTTTTATCTTCTGCTTGCAGTCTGTACATTTTGCCATGTTTGCCTAAAACTTCATAATATTCTCTTGTATACTTTCTTCTATTTTTACGAACACGAATGCGAGTACCTGTCGAGTTCCCATTGTTGTCATAGTCAATAGTATTTTCATATGGGTCGCGTTTAGGTATTTCTATTTTTACTTTGTCACCTTTCTGAAGTTTGAAGCCTGGCATTCTTTCTTGTTTGTCTCTTTTGACTAAACTGTTAAATATATAGTCTTTCTCTAAGTCAGGGTTGTTTTTCATTTCTTCAGGGGAGTGGTTTCCCAAACCTTTTTGTTTACGGTTATTGTAAATATTTAAAACTTGTCTCATCTTTGCCATGGAGAAGTGTCTATATTTGTCGTCATATGACATTTCATTTGCTTCACCACCTTGTGGTTGGTTTAAGTCTCTTAAGATTTTTATACAACTGTCAATGACACCAAGAGCAGAATGGTTTTGGTCGACAATGAAATATTGGTTTACATTTTTTGAACGCAGATAGTTTTTTACATCATCTGATTTGAAAGAACTTTCACAGTCAGATGTCAGTTTTGTTGGATGGTATTTGTCAACAAATATTGTCAAAGCTGCTAAGATATCTAAAATATTTTTGGACTGTAATGGTATGGCTTCACAGTATCTTGTGTTTTGACCAACAAATATTAGCCAGTATGGAGGTCCATCTGTTCTAACTCTCGGAATGTTTTCCAAGATATCCATAAACCAAGCATTTGGTGTTGAACTAAAGATTTTTATCATGAGTGCTTTTTTTGTTGCCTTAGAAACATAGGGGTCCTTGTTTGGATTCGTCATTTTTTAACCCATAAGAAATGGGTTTATTTGGCGCATTAGCAGGAGTTGCATCCAGATTTTTGCCCGCAGTGGGAACAATAGCCAGAGGTGTATTTGGAGTTGGAAGGAAGATTTTGAGTACATTAGGTATACTTAAAGAGAAAGCACAACCTATTATACAAACTGTACAGAAAGGTTGGGATGTAGCACGAGATGCAGCAAATCTTATTCCAAATCCTGAAACAAGAGGAAAAGTTCAAGGATGGATGGACAATGTAGGAAGACAAGCAGGAAACTATTATAACAAAGCAAATGACTACTATAACCAAGCAGGACACTATATGGACCAAGGTGAAAGATTCTTTAACAGAGGATATAACCATGCACAACAGTGGGTAAACAATAACCAACCGCAACCACCTCAAACTTGGGGAATGTAAAGTTTTTTACTGAGATGAAATGAACAATACAGCATTGAGACAAATGGGTTCAAGATGGATTTGTCGACTTCCAGCAGTTACACAACGTGTTTGTCAAGTTCTTCCTATACCTCAGGAAGTTTTAGACCGACTTAAAAAACAACAACAACCAGTTGAAAACAAACCAAACTAAAATTTTTTACTGAGATGAAATGACCGAAGAAGTTGAAACGGTAGATTTGACACCACAAACAAAAAGTTCAGAACCATTGTCAAAACCTGTCAAAGAACTTACAGATGAAGAGAAAAATTCAATAATAGAAAGTGCCAGGTCTGGAAATACAAACCCTAACTACAAAGTCACTTTTCATAGAAATGGAACGGCTAGTATCTCAAAAAAGAAACAGACTCTCACAAATAAAATATTGAAGTCTGAAGGAGCTTTCGAGACAACAGATGGAAAAGTTTACTTCACTGACCAACAGTTCATTATAGAACATCTCATTGACTTAGAGTCGAAATATTCTAAACTTTACAACAAACACAAAAAGTTGAAAGGAAAACAAAAACAAATGGCATATGATATTTACGAAGATGTTAACGACACAACCATACCTGCAAGTGAGGTAAAGTCAGAGGAACCGAAAAGTGACGAAAAACCAATAGAAGAAGGTGAGCCAAAAACTGAAGATAAACCAAAACCAAAGTTTAGTCAACCTTCATTAGCTGGTATGGGTTGGCGTCAAAGACTTATGGCAGCAGGCGGTTATGTAAAGTAAAGAAAAAATATATTTTTTTATTTTTATAGAAATGCCTCCGCATAGAATGGACAGAAGGTCTGCTAGAATAAAAGCAGAGTTGCAAAGATATGGTTGGAAAGTTTCGAAGAAGTTTAAATATAGGAAGGGAAGACCCATAAAAGTCTATGACAAATTGTCTGGTCTGACCTACGAGATGGACTTGGAAACAGCGCGCGCCAATTATCCAAACAGACTAGAGAGGTTAGAAGAAGAACGTCTTATGGACATGCCTTTCGATGTTAGTGAACCTCAAGTTGAAGGACACGACGGCTTTGCCAGATTCTACTGGAAACATGACGAACAATTGCATCCTTTGAGAAGGAAAAAAGGAAAGGGTGAAGACACACATGCTCCCATGGAAAGAACAAGATATGCATATGAGAAGTATCGTGAAGTTAGAAGTCAAATTACATCTGGTCGAACCTTTACAGTAAACTTTGACGAAGGAAAGAACAAAGAAGGCTTCATGGGTGTACTTGCTGCAACAAGACGGAAATAAGAAAGGATACAATCTCAGATTGACCATAACAGATTTGGACGGTCATATATACTATGCACATGGCAATGTCACAACAGCTGCAATGCTTCTTGACGCTTTCAAGACTACAAAGAGAGAACAAATGGTTGACTCCGACTCAGACATTTTGAATGCAATTGAAGGAATTGCAAGTGTCAAGTTCGAATGGTACCAACATAACCCTCAAGCAGTCAGACAACATGCTGGATACTTCCCCTTCATAAATAAGTCTGACATTGACTTGACAAGGTATGGAATTTACAATTCAATTGAAACAATTGTCAATGAACCTTGCATTCTTACATGTCTCAGGAACTCTGGTCTTGTTACAGATGAGAAGATGAAGTATCTTGAGTCATGTGTGAAGACAAGGTACATTCTCAGAGGTCAATTGGCAAAAATTGCACCGTTGGCAAATGTCAATATCCGAGTTAACATTCCGACTGAGAAAGGTTCTTCACACGACGACTATGTTGTTGACTTCAAATTACCATGGTTGAAGATTGTAATTGTCCACAACCACTTCATGTTGAACGAAAGTCTTACAAACCCATTGTTCGGAAAAGGCAAGTGCAACATTGTCAGAGCTGTAAACATTCTTTTCGAGAAAGGTTTGTTGGAACCAATTCCAGATGACAAGCTGACAGAAACTTTTGTACCAAAAGACGAAACAAACTTTTCATTGTTAGCAAGACCAAAAGTTGTTCCAGACAAAGTTATAGCACAAAAGAAGTACACTGTTCCAAAAGGAGTTGGATTGTTCGGATACCAACCTGAACCAGAAGAACTTCCAATGAGGTTGCAAGAACTTCAAGATGCTATAAACAAACTTCCATTGAGACATCCAATTGACGTCAAATTGTATTGGAGAGCATCGGAGTTAGGTCAGAAGGTTTTATATGAAACAGGTTGCTTCGACGATGTTTATGAGATAGCAGGCGAAGTTTCTCAGAAGATAAGAGACTCACTTGAATTTCCACGAACTGGACCCATTGGTTGCGACAAGTTCGACTCAAACGAAAAGATATACTATGTCGACCTTAACGCTGCATACATGAGGTTCGTCCAATATATCCCGACTGGAATTCCAAACGAAGACGGTGAGTTCCCAGGAAGGAACTATACAGTTGGAAAAGTCATACAACAACTGTATGATATTAGGAAAGCTTCAAACCCCAAACTTGCAATGACACTCAAATTGCTTATGAATTCGACATGGGGATATTCCATTAAGAAACCTCAAAAGATGAAGAGTAAACACTATGAGAAGGTCGACAACTTTGTTGAAAGGTTCTCCCCTTTTGTTTTGAAATACGAATTTACTCAAGGTCAAGGTGGCTTAGTAACCACAGTAAAACCTATTGTCGAACATTGGTCTTATCCTCAGTTCGCAAAGGCAGTCCTTGACAACTACAACAAATTCTTCTCCGAAGTCAAATCCAAAGTGAAGGTTTACTATGAGAACATTGACGCACTCATGACGAACGAAGAAGGATACAACAAACTCATTGAAATGGGAATGGTCGGTGAAAAGATGGGCTGTTTTAAGCTAGATAAGGTATTTTCCGAAGTTCATGTCCTCTCCAAGCGTAAGTACTGGGGCATACTTGAAGACGGCACAGAAATAAAACATTGCATGAAGTAAAAAATTTTTATTCGAATTTGAATCGGACAGGTCGAGTTACACCATTCTTGGTCTCAAACTCATATATAACCTGTTTGTTTGTATTTTCGTCGACTATGGCACGAGACACGAACATTGACCAAACGTACAAAAAGTGTCATTTCGGATGGTCACGCAGCCAATCGCATTCGAGCACTTCGAAGAAGCCTTACGTTCCAAGGGAGAGGGTGTCTGGTGCAAGGGAGAGGTCATGAGACTCTACGAGCAGTACATCCTCAATGCCTGGGAGGACAAATCGTCCTTGGATTGGCAAATCTACCAACTCCTCTGGGACGACCTCCTACGCAACTGGGAGAACGAAAGAGTCCAATTCAAAGGTCGGGAACTAATTTTGCAAATTGACCTTAATTTCACATACTTATCCAAATAAACACCTAAATTTACTTGGGGTTTCCCCCTAAAATAAAATTTTTTTACTCTTAGAACCACTCGAGGTTCTCCTTACGGTTGTTGAGCTTGTCACCGTCAATGTGTCTGACCTTCGTCCTCTTGTTTGGATTTGGAACCCATTGAATTGCGACAAGCTTGCCCATGGAGATTGAACCGTAATTCCGAAGGGTAAGGTTCAAGTGTCCCAAGTTGTTGAGAACTGGGGTAAGAACCTTGCCGGTCTCCTTGTTGCGGATTTGGTATGGGTAGGGTTGGGAAATTTCGTAAGTGTCATCGGCAACAAGGGTTGCCCAAACTTCCTCTTCTTCGTGTTTCTCTTCTTCCTCTTCTTCCTCTTCCTCTTCTTCGTGTTTCTCTTCTTCCTCGACAATTCCTTCTTCAATTCTGTGTTCACGAAGTACGGTGTTGGAGGTTCTGTCCTTTCCGAGTACCTTCCAGATGGCATCTATCTCTTCGAAGAAACGGTAGATGAGTCTGGAAAGGTCTCGGTTCTCTCTCGCGTAAATGCGCAAGGTTTCCGTCAAATCGCTCAGGACTTTCTCATTGGAAGCTTGGTTCATGAGGAACTCACCTTTAAGTCCCTTCATCTCTTCCATAAGACTACTTTGGAGAGTCTTAACGGTGTTTGTCAGATGAGCTTTCAAATTCAAAATTTGAATTTGAACTGGGCGCTTGTCTGGCAACATTGAAAGGACATCTGCCATTGTGTTCGGCTTCGGTGCTTGTTCGGACATCGAAAAAATGAAGTGGTTTGAGAATGACGGTTTTACTTCAAAAAGCTTGTTATGACGGTTAAGTCATACAACAAGTTTAAAATAATATCTTGTTCTTCTTCTGAACGTTTGTTGTCTCTTCCGATAAAAGTTTCGAACATGAGAACCAAAAAACGTTTTTTGAGATTGCGGAAGAGTTCAGGCAAACGTTCATATTCTGGATATGTTGGGAGCAGTTCAAAACATCTGAGCTGACTTTCGGACAAAATTGGGACAATGTCAGAAAATTCATCTTTGGTCGGACTGCATGAAGGTAAGTCCCTTACATGTAAGTAGCTCTGGTAAAGTCTTCTCATTTCTGCTAACTTTTGGAGTATAGCTTCGTAGTTTAGAAGTTTTAATTTTAATTGTCTTATTCCACTCTTTACTTCTAAACGGTAAGTATCCATGAGGTCAAGAGTAGCTTTGGTAGCTTTAAGTGGAGCTATTTGTTCCTTGACTTCTGCAATTTTGGTTGCAATTGTGGTTTGAGCTCCTTCAAGTTCGCCGTCTATGTCGTTCTCAACGCCTTCAACCATGGCTTGAAACTCTTCATCGGTCCATTGAGATTGGTGTGGGACGAATTTAACTTGCTTCATTCAAAAAATGAAAAAAATGTTTTTACTCAAAGCGTGCCATGTATATGGCTATAAGAAACTTACCAGAAGGCTTCTTCTTCACATGAGTCTTTGGCAACTTGAGTGTTGGTGTTGGAGTTCTTGGGGGAGGTGGCTCTGAAATTTCAAATCTCTCTCGAGCGCAACAACAGATGTCAGAATAACATTCCCCACTGTCCTTCTTGCCACCATAAATTGTATATTGACCGAACTTGCATTTGCAGGAAGACCGGTCAATACAAGGTTCACAGTTGAAATAGTTGTACACAAACCTGTTGAGTACGAGTGTGAGTAAAAACATAAAAAAAGTGAAGTTAAACGTTAAGGTTTACTGAATTGGTTGGATGTCGCCTTCACAGGTTATGTAGAACGGCTGACCCGAGAAGTGAAGGAGAGACTGAATTGCCAATTTCATATGGGGTAGGGGGTTCTCCTTGTTTGGTATTTTTATCCAAGGACGTTTGTTTAGGAACTTAACAAGAGCTTCTCTTTTGGCGTCCTTTATGCCATCGTAGGCTGTCCCGTCTGGTATTTGAATTGGAATTCCAGTCGAAGTCTCGAGATTCAAGACAGCCCTTCCAGAAATAGCGGTGAACTTGACCTTGGGCTTCATTACCCTGCGCAAGTACTGCTTAACAACTTCATTTATCTCTATAAGGTAAATTGCCTCGTCAAATCCTTCTGGCATTCCGAGTCCTTCCATCCGACAGGAAAATATTTTCCCGACAACTGGAAAAACTTTTCCCGACAACTGGAAAAAATTTTCCCGACGACAGGAAGGACTCTTCCAGTTGTCCGTCCGTAAACCATTCAAATTTTCGAAAATTGAGAACTTTTGGTCAAACTTCAGAAAAAGTTTTTCCTTCCGACAGAAAAAGTTTTTCCTTCCGACAGAAAAAGTTTTTCCTTCCGACAGGAAAGGTTTTTCCTTCCGACAGGAAAGGTTTTTCCTTCCGACGGTTAAGCCACAAACAGATGTCCGACGTACCACCAACCGAGCCCATTCCCAAACCAGAGGAACCTAAAGCACCAGCCCCTGCACCTCAGCAACCTCAGTTCCAGCAAGTACCTCCGATTTACTACCAATTTCCACCTCAAGGTTACTACCTACCACAAGGCTTCCCGAACTACCCTCCTCCTCAGCCTATGCCTTACTTCCCCAACCCTTGGATGTTTATGCAAAACCCTGCCCCACAATTCCAATCCCAATCGAAGAGAGACCAAGACTTCGAAGAAGGTCTGAACCGCTTACGCAAAGATTATGCTACTGCCCCTATGGAAGACGACAGGCTTTCAGTCTCTTCCCTCAAATCGACCGATTCGACTCGTACCACAGATTCGGTTCGTGACCGTGAAGACTACCTCAAGCAGTCTGAGAGACTCTTCATCCTACAACCATTTACAGTTGGAGCTCTCAAGAACATGCGCAATTACGAAGGTCAGACACCAGCTGGAGACCGCAAAACAGACGTACTCGCAAGAGCAGTCCAACTGGTCAAGACAAAGACTGAGATAGTCGACTTCATTCTTGCAGCTTGCCCATACAAGTAAAAAAATAAACAATTACGAGTTAAACTTTTTATTCTTTCTTTTCTGAGTTGTTTAGAGCTGGTTTCTCTTGTAGGAACCTTTCGTACTCTTCCATGGTCATGTAATTGCGAATTTGGTACGCAATTCCAGGTTCGTTGTTTTTGAACCTTACGTATGTAACGCTTCCATCCTCCTCAGGGAAGTAAGCTGCTAACATCTGACCAAGTTTTCTCGGTGACTCGGAGCTCATAAAAATGTCACTTTTTAAACGTTAAGTTTTTAGTCTTATTTTACCCTTTGTTTACCCTTTGTTTGTCAAGGTAGTATTGGAGTGCAATTTCTCCAAATTCTCTGTGTCGGAGTTCTTCAGCATTTTCCAAGGTGTACCTGGAGAACTCAAAGAAGTTGTCAAGAAGATACTGCCATGCTGCTCTTCTGAGTTCGTCGGTATTTTGGAAGTGTTGCACCTTCGAGTCTTCGGACATGAAAAAATAACACTTTTTCTATTAAACCGTTTTGGCATTTCTCATGAGTGAGTATAGTTCTGCCGAACCATTGGAAGAGAAGAAGTACCCTTGCTGGCAAAAGACAAAAATAGTTGCCTTAGTTGTCATTGCAATTGTACTCGTAATTGAATTTATTGTACTTCTCTTCACGTACATAAAACTCAGCAATGGTATTTGCTTTAAGAAGCTACCATCTTACTAAGACTAAACACTTAGATTTTTCAAGCTTGACTTTTTACAATTTGAATTTTGTCATAAATTTACACCAAAAATAATGTTTAGGTGAAGAGGTGAGATTTCACCTCTTTTTTCACCTGTTTTTTCACCTCATGAATTTTCATGATTTCATCGTAAATGTTTTGTCGAAACTTCATCGTAATGAGCGTAAATGACCCAAAAATAATGTTTAGGTGAAGAGGTGAGATTTCACCTCTTTTTTCACCTGTTTTTTCACCTCATGAGTTTTCCCGAAATAAAAAATAAAGTTGGTTTTTTTAAAAAAATATTTTTTTATTTTTATTGTAAGAACATGTTAGCAACAACAGCACCAAACTCGTTAGTCATGAACCCAACTTCAATGTTAGTAGAGATGAAAAGCTTCATTCCTTCTTCATATACTTTCGAAACAAAAATCCAGAAGATAAAGCAAGAACTTCTCCAAGGAGTTTTAGACTGTAGTGCAAAAGATGAAACAAATGAACAGTATCTTTATGAAATGCAGGACATTATTGACCATTTACCCAAATTGCCTGAAATCCAACAACAAAAACTAACTATTCCTGAATTCGACGAAATAGAAGTCAAAGCAACTGACTCAGTAGAAATAAAGAAGTTCATACGTAAAGTAAATTATGAATTCCTTGGTTTTCATTGCAACCATAAGGTTATGGACAAA